GGTTTACCTTAACTGAATGCTACCCCAAAGCTACCACTAACAGCAACAGGCAAATGACCCTGAAATGAAAAATGTCCGAAACGACCGCCCAGGTAGGGATGTAGGAGGTTTAAGGTTTTTAGGGCTTTGGGTTTTAGGCTCAGGGTTTAGGTTCAGAATTCAAGGTTTAGGATTTTGGGATGCAGGGCGTCTGGTGTTCAAGGCCCCCTTAAACCCAAGGAGACCCTAAACCCAAAACCCTAAACCGGGTTTAGGGTTTAGGGTTTAGCGCCCCCAGATCCCCTAAACCCTAAACTCAAAACCCGAAGAAACCCCGAAACCCTGCAGTCCAAGTCCACAGATCTAGCGGCTGCGGAAGCGGCTTTGGCCTCGTCGACTTGTTTAGGGCTTTAAGGGTTCAGGGCCTAGGGTTTAGGGGTTTAGGGTTTTAAGGGTTTCGGGCGGATTTGAAGTGTCGGGGTTTTTGGGGTTTTGGGTTTACGGTTTTGGGGTTGTGGGTTTGGGGTTTTGGGGTTTAGGGTTTTGGGTTTCGGGGGTTTGATGTTTAGGGCGGGTGAACCCCTAATCAGGATTCAGGGATTAAGGGATTTAGGGGCTCGGGTTCTCTGATAGCTCCTCGCATATCTCGAAGTAATCTCAAGTGCACAAACAGCACCGCCCTTTGGGTTCTATAAGACCCTGTATGAAACGCTATGAATGCCACTGTCAAAAAGCCTTATCAATGCTCCAGAAAAGCCACAAGCAGTGCCAACTTCCGGGTTCATGCATCCCCCTTTTTTATATGACTCAAGGCTGCAGGCTGAGGTTCTCTAGGGATACTGTAGGGGCCTTACAAATTAGAATAGGGCTTTGGGGAAAATTATACTGTAAGTATATTAAGGAACCCCAAGAATAGTCTAGTATAGGTGCTTAATGAGGCCCCTATACTGCTCTGAAATCCTAAACCTCAGAAAGCTCGAACTGAAATGTTCAAAGGTTTTGGGATTTGCGGTGGGGTTGGGGTTCGGGGATTAGCAGCGTTCAAGTGGTAAGTTTTGGGGTTTAGAGTGTGGGATTCGGGGTTGCAGAAGTCGAGGCCCTAAACCCTAAACCCCAAGCCCTAAACCAGTCTAGGCTTTCTTTAGGGTTTAGGGTTTTGGGTTTTGGGTTCTGGATCTGGGTTTAGGATTTGGGGCGGTCCCCGAGATCTGGCACGATGAGGCCAGCATCGGTCTCGCCCTCCTTCAGCTCATTGACATAGATTCGGATCTCGACGGCTTTAACTTTTTTGCCGTCGCATGTACCGGCCACAGCACTTTCCAGAATCTTCTGGATGCTCTTGTCAAATGAGGCTGAGTCATAACACTGTTTCTCCCCATCACGTACGATGAGCACTTCGTACATGCCCTTCGCCACGAGCGGCGGCGGGTTCAAACTGGAGTCACTTAGGGGAGTCATGGTTGCATCCAAGCCCAGACCGGATATTGCGGTCGACATGGCAGCTTCGGCACACTCTGTATATAGAGCAGGGTGCAGCATGTGAAATGCCCGTACAACCCATGAAGACTGCGCTGGAAAGTGTGAAGGATGGTCCTAAACCCTAAACCCTTAAATGATAAACCATGCGTGAAGCCTGCGTTCTGGGAACCATGGAAGCACATCCATAGGGTTCTCTTATGAGGGCTCCTTCGAAGCGCTCCTTTAAACGGCCGCTGGAAGAACTCCTTTAAAGAATGACTATAAGGGTTCGATGATACCTAGAGGGTCATGCCCTACCCCTTTTAAAGGTACCTGGTTTTAGGGTTATGGGGTATATTATGCTAGAACTCTAATGAGGAGCCCCGCAAATGGTATAGGTATTTATTGCCCTAGCGCTCTAAGGACTCATATTAAAAGGCTTTTGGGCCCAAAGACCATACTCTATGGGGCTTTGGGCTATTTTGAGCCTCAGAGTTTAGGGTTTAGGGTCCCCACTTGGAGGTTCATGGGTAGTTATAAGTGGGTTATAAGTAGGGTAACTATGGTTATAAGCCATATTAAGAGACTTATAACCCTACTTATAACTACCCATGAACCTCCAAGCATCGTAGGATTTTGGGGCTGTGCCTCCTGCGCTAACATTGGCGTTCCGCCGACCAGACCTGACCAGCATTGCCATGAGGCTTTCTATGAGGTTAGGGTTTAAGGAGTTTAGGGATTAGGGGTTTAGGGTTTTAGGATTTAGGGTTTTAGGGGTTTGGGGCTTTAGGTTTCGAATTAAGGGAGTTTTGGGGTTCAGGGCTTTCGAGAGAGATGGAAAGTCAAATTGACGTGGGTGGTGGGGCCCTGCGGCTATTGCAATTAATGGCTTGTTTCACAATGTCACCCTATCAGGAGTGAAATTCAGCGAAGCGCGCCTGTTAGAGTGATCCCACCATCGCTGCTTTCGCTGCTGATCCTCTCTCCCTGCCACAGGCTTGGGATTTTGGCTAGGTTCCCCAGTAGACCCCTAACATTAAGGGCACCTTGTTTCCTACTCTTTGTCTTTGGGTTCAATAAGGGACTAAACCCTAAACCCTGAACCCTAAACCCCAAAAACAAAAGGGCACAAGGGTAGCACTGGGGAACCTAGTTGGTTTTAGGATTTTGCTTCACAGGCACATTGAAACTTCGGGGTTCGGTGATGACTGCTCGCATTTTCCGAGGTGACCAGAAGAGCGCGTTGGGGTCTTGACTTCTTGTTCATAGAGGGGCCATACTTGTTAGCATAGTGGGGTTTGGGGATGTTTTGGGGTCTAATTTATACCGTTAACAGTAAGTAGACTGAAACGATCTAGCTTCTTCTGTGTGGCGGAGCTTCCTTGGAGTGCTTTCACAAGTCAGAGTTGCCTGGAAACCGAAACCCTGAGCGCCATAAAACAGCTAAGTCTGAAGCATATAGCCTTTGGCCTCGAATCCACGAAACCAAGTCTGGATCATAAGCCATGAGCCCGATAGCCAGTCCGACAGTCCTCTTCAGACATTGAACTACTGTTGGTGATCTAAATTCTGCATTACCTTAAGGACCCTAAACTATGGGAACTATGGTATATTCCTTATTATGGGTACGTAATGCAGGATTAAATCATCAACCGTGGTTGAGGTAAGGGTTTAGGATTTGGGGCTTAGGGTTTAAGGGATCAGCCGTACGAATCGTAAAGTTATCACTTCATCCTGGACACTTTGGGCGCATTGAACGTGGACTTTAAGACTCAAGTCACGTGCAAGAGGCCGAAAGCTCGAATATGAAAAAACAAACTGACGCAGAAGGATTGAGATTTAGGAAGTTTATATAAGGTTTAGGAGTAGCAGATGGTAGCAGGCTTCTGTGGGAGCCAGGATTTGCTAGGGACTTGGTAAGGCTTTGGGCCTTTAGGGCTTCCGGCACCGCTTCCAGGTGTCGGGCCCATGAGTCTGCAGCTTATCTTTTCTTGCGATGTTATGGTTTCAATGGGGTTTAGGGTTTAGGGGCTTAGGATTTGAGGGTTTTGGGGGTTTAGGGGTTCAGGGGTTCAGGGGTTTAGGGGTTTAGGGGTTTAGGGGTTAGGGGTCTAGGGGTTTAGGGTGGAAGCCGCCGAAAATCCGGGTTTAGGGTTCGTCGGAGGGCCCGGGGTCCGGTCAGTGTCGGTCTTCAAGACAGGGTACCTCTACGGGCCTTGATAATTTTAATAGGGTTGTGGCGGCTTTTTATAACTATAGTGTAATACACCTCAAAACCTCTTCTGATTGTTAAGGCCCCTATATTACGTATAAGATAGGGTACAACAGCACCAAACCTCATAACAGCGGTATCAAACACCTCACACGCTCAAGGACACGAGCATCGCGAGAAAGATGCCTCGCCTTTTTACCCTTCTTCTCCTTCTTCTTGGCCTTCTTCCTTGAGCAAGTGGGGGATGAGCAGAAAACGCAGTATGCCTAAAGCCTGAGTGCACTAAACCCCACGAGATGCAAACACCAAGCCAACATCGTCCCAGGTCGAATCTTCATACAGCGCAGCAGCAGGCAAAACGAGCAAGACTACGCAGCTTATATTGCAAATAAACCAATGACAAATGACAGCGTCAAACAAAAATATAACACGTTACCATCATGCTAGTTCTACTACTGATCTGGGTCTCCATTGACATGCTGACACATGAGCCCCCCATCCCAAATTCTAGAAGCCCTGTACACCCTGGTGCCGTAATTCGAACCCCAAACCCTAAACTTAAGCCCTCGACCCCCCTAAACAGCACGAAAAGCCAGAAGAAGGAGCTTCTGCTTGACTGGCTCTTGAGGAGTTTCGGGCTTTTGGGCTTTAGGGTTTCGGGCTCAGGGACCCTAAACCCTAAACCCTAAACCCTAAACCCTAAACCCAAAACCCAAAACCCGCAACCCTTTTGGGCTTCTCTTGGGCTCCCGACTCTCTCCTCTTCTCCTCCTTCTCGCGCTCCAGCTGTCGCTTCGCCTGGGTGCCCGGGGTGCTTGCAGGGCTGGGTATTTAGGGTTTAGGGTTTAGGGTTTAGGGTTTAGGGTTTAGGGTTTAGAAAGGAAGAGAGGGGTCTTTTTGTTAAGGTCTTGCAAGGTCTCGTGGCTTTCGCAAGGATTTCGCTTCAAGCATCTGTATGTTGCTTTGTAAGGTGGCAAGACAACCTGCAAGGTGCCAGACTTTAAGCCTAAACCCTAAACCCTAAACCCTAAACCCTAAACCCTAAACCCTAAGCTGTTGGAGCGTTTAGTCTAAACTCGGAGGCTCCTTCCTGGGTAGCTGAAAATTGATTTCAAAGGCATCCTCATGATTTCAATGTTGCTGGGGTCTAGGGTTTCGGGAAACCCTTAAAAGGCCCGACTGTAAGCCATAAAGCCGTTTATGGTTTTCCAGTCTTGAACCCTAAACCCTAAAACCCGAGCTTACGGTTTTGGGGTTTAGGGTTTAGGGTTCAGGGTTCAGGAGTTCGGGTTTAGGGTTTAGGATTCAGGGTTTAGGCGGTTTAGGGTTGAGGGTTTAGGGTTTAGGGAGGGTGGGGAAGGGAAGCACAAACGTCTGCCAGAAGCAGGGCCGCACGTATTTACCAAGTAAATCGGGGGATCTGTACCCTAAGCATCACTAAACCCTAAACCCATACGATTCGATCATCCCAAAGCTTGGCCTGTCTTGTGTAGTGTTTCGAAAGATTTCGGAGAAAGTCAGCAAAACAACGAATATGAACCCCAAACTAAACCACAAACCCTAAGCCCTAAACCCCAAACCCTAAACCGATGGCGACATGTCGAAGTAACAAGTGAATCAAGTAGCCCTAACAAGCGAAAAAGCAGACTTCAATGATGACAGCAACTAGCTCAGATCCTGATGGAGCGCTGCTTACGATTCGGTAGCTCAGCCAGTCCCCTAAACTTTATTATACCAGCCTCGACCCCAAACAGCAATACCAGACGGGCGTTAGAGCATCCAGAATGTGGGAGGCAAATGGGAGACAAGTGGGAGACAAATGAGTAGCGATGTTTAGAGTAGT